GAAAGGCACTCAGGAGTCCCACAGACACACGCAGGATCCTCACATGGCCACTCTGGATCTCAACATGGAGAGTCTGGATCCACAGCTAAAGGGAGACAGGGAACACCTCAAGGACAGTCAGGAGACACCACTAGACATGCCCACACTGCTGTTGGACAAGCCACCAGGACAGAGTCCAGTAGGGCTACAAGAAGGGGATCCAGTGTCAGTGAGTCCAGTGACACTGAAAGGCACCCAGGAGTTGCACAAACACACGCAGGATCCTCTCGAGGCCAGTCTGGGTCTCAACATGGAGAGTCTGGATCCACAGTTAAAGGGAGACAGAGAACTACTCATACACAGTCAGGAGACAACAGACATGCTGGGTCTGGGCACGGACAGGCCACCAGGACAGAATCCAGTAGAACTGCAAGAAGAGGATCTAGTGTCAGTGCGTCCAGTGACACTGAAAGACACTCAGGAGTCCCACAGACACATGCAGGATCCTCTCATGGCCACTCTGGATCTCAACATGGAGAGTCAGGATCCACAGCTAAAGGGAGACAGGGAACTACTCATGCACAGTCAGGAGACAACAGACATACTGGGTCCGGGCACGGACAAGCCACCAGGACAGAATCTAGTAGGGCTGCAAGAAGAGGATCCAGTGTCAGTGAGTCCAGTGACACTGAAAGGCACTTTGGATTCACACAGACACATGCAGGATCCTCTCGAGGCCAGACTGGATCTCAACATGGAGAGTCAGGATCCACAGCTAAAGGGAGACAAGGAACTCCTCATGGACAGTCAGGAGACACCACACATGCCCGGTCTGGTCAGGGACAAGCCACCAGGACAGAGTCCAGTAGGGCTACAAGGAGGGGATCCAGTGTCACCGAATCTAGTGACCATGAAATGCATTCTGGATTCCCCCAGACACACGCAGCATCCTCTCATGGTCACTCTCGATCTCAACATGGAGAGTCAGGATCCACAGCTAAAGGGATACAGGGAACTACTCATGCACAGTCAGGAGACACCAGTAAAGATGCTCAGTCTGGGCATGGACAAGTCACCAGGACAGAATCCAGCTGGGCTGCAAGAAGGGGATCTAGTGCCAGTGAGTCCAGTGACACTGAAAGGCACTCAGGAGTCACACAGACACACACAGGATCCTCTCATGGCCACTCTGGATCTCAACATGGAGAGTCTGGATCCTCAGCTAACGGGAGACAGGGAACTACTCATGGACAGTCAGGAGACACCGGGGGAAAAGCTGGGTCTGGGCATGGACATGCCACCAGGACAGAATCCAATAAGAAGACTGGGAGAAGGGGATCTACTGTCAGTGTGGCCAATGACAATGAAAGGCACTCAGTTTTGAGCCATGGGCATTCCAGGTCTGTCCCCAAACACACTGGTAATGATACAACTGGAACATATAAATCTAGGAATGAACAGTCAGGAGATAGTTCTAAACATTCAGTCATAGTTCAAGGGCGGACATCAATTCATAAGCAACCAGTTTCTAGAAGTTCACAGAATTTTGGATCCTCCCATGAGCAGACAGGAGACAAATCTACATACTCAGGCTCCGTTACAGGGCAGACCACATTTTCCCATGGGCAGTTAGGAACTGGCACAATAGAGAGACATGGGTCCAGCCATACACAGTCACATGATACTCATAGGCAGTCCAAGGATAGCATAAGGAAACAGTCACATAGTAGTCATCCCCAATCTAGAATAAGTAATTTTCAGTCACAGATTAGTGGAAGACAACGACATGGATCAGGTCAAGGATGGAAACATGGCAGTTATGGAAGTGCAGAATATGACTATGGGCAGTCTGGGTATGGACCTTCTGGGGGCAGCAGAACAAGCAGCCGCAATTCTAGCCCTTTGCGGTCATTAGATAGAGCTGCAAACAATCAAGTGTCTACACATGGACAATCAGTTTCTAGGTTTGACCATACAGGATCAAAAGTAACTGAAATAGTAGGAAGACAAAGCTCAAGTCATGGACAGTCAATTGAGTCCCATAATAAGTCTGGATCCAATGTAACTAGAAGGCAGGGATCTATTCATGGGCATTCAGTAGTAAGCCATGAACCATCAAGTGACACCCATGTTCCATATGGAAGGCAGGGATCTACTACTCATAGGCAGCCAAGCAACCATTCTGTATCCAGCCATGGACAGTCCATATCAGCTCACAGCCATTCAGCATTTAGTTCAACTCTAAAGCATGGATCCCATAGTGATAATAAAGAGCATTCAGAAGATTGGGGGAAACAGATTCATGAACCATCAGGATCTAGGCATGGACAATCAGAATTCAACACTATAGGTATACATGGATCCAGCCAGCAGCATTTGGGAGATACATCTTCTCATGAGCAGGTAAGATCGAGTACAAGTTTAGTAAGACAGGGATCAAGTAATAGACAATCAGGAGACATCCAGGGTCAATCTGGATTCAGCACCAATGAAAGACGAGTATATAGCCATGGACAATCAAGTGACAGCTATGGGCAGTCAATTGACAGCAGAAGCAGAAGTCAAGGATTCATTTCCAGTCACTCTCATGATAGCCAAGACCCTAAAGGAACTGAAGAATATGGGTATAGATATTTATCAAGCAGTACAATCATGTGGAGTGGGGAAAGGCAAAAGCAAGGGCCTGAATCAAGTTTGTTAGGAAGCATCAGAATATATAGTCAGGATGTGGACGATAAGCAGGCAAGAAACATGGAAGCCAGAGGTTGCCATAAAAGGGAGAGAACAGACTCAGGTTCCTTTTACTTAGATAGCAACACTCCACTCTATGAATATGCCCAAGAACAAAGGTGTTATTACTTTGAATAATCATTTGAAGCCAACAGAAAACAAACTAACTCAAGATAAGAACTAACCCAAGAAGAAATGAGAATACAACACGGAATTAAGATATTTACCATTATCCTTTCTTTTCTTAGTGGGGGCATATGTCTGTTCTTTTACTTAACTGTAGCCCTGTACTCTACTCCTCTTGTTTGGTGCAGGTTTTTTTTTTTGTTTTTTTTTTTTTTTTTTTTTTTTTTTTTTTTTTTTTTTTTGTAAGGCTCCATAATCACTAAGCTCTTTGGTTAGAAAACAGTAAATGGAAGAAGTAAATAGCACTTGGAACTATATTCAGAACTATATGGCAAAATGATTTGAGTGCTTTGGGATAAAATAAGCATTTTTAAAAAATGTCTGAGACTCAGATTTTGGACTTTCCAGATTTTATTTTAATTGACCATTGACAAACCTATCCAGGGAGCTAAGAAACATGATTTTGGAGCAAAAATTTCTCTAATAATATTGTAACACATTCCATGTCCTGAACAAAAAATTCTGTAGTAGTTGATTAGTCAGAATATTTGCATCTTTTGTGCCACCACTGGTACTTCATACTACTACTTTTGAATTTATTGTCATGACCTCCTGTATTGCATAAAAATTGTCAATAAACTTTCCAACAAGTATAGTTTCTCTTCTTTTTCATCTTCACAAACAAACATAGCTCCCTGCCAAAGGATCAAATGCAGATTTCTTTTCCTTTTTCTTTATCTTATTTAAATTCAAGTAACTAACATATACTGTATCATTAGTTTCAGAGATAGAGGTCAGTTATTCATCAGTTCCATGTAACACCCAGTGCTCATTATATCACATGTCCTCTTTAATGCCCATCACTCATAACCCATCCCCCCACCTACCTCCCCTCCAGCAACCCTCGGTTTTTTTCCCATAGTTAAGAGTCTCTTATGGTTTGCCTCCTTCTCTGTTTTTATCTGATTTTACTTTTCTTGTTTTGTTTCTTAAATTCCACATATGAGTGAAATCATATGATATTTGTCTTTCTCTGACTTATTTTGCATATATATATGTATATACTACATATATATGTATATATATCTCAGGCTATTTGTGGACACTGCTGTTATAAACATTGCATTTTCATCCACCTTCACTTTTGAAACTCAAATTAAAGTGAAATTCATCAATGGGTGTTCAAGATCAGAAGTCCCTACTGGGGGCAGAAGTTCTATGAAAAAACAAAACACGGGCTAAATTTTCTGAATAGACTCAGAATATATTCCATTTACTTTTAAATATTTTAAGAAAGACTATACAAACTTTGTCACTGTGCTATGTGATAAACACAACACTAGTCATATTAGTTTATTAGTGAAAGAAAATAATTGTTATACTATAAATGTACACAAAAAATAACTGAATATATGATAGTTAACCCTAAATAGTAATCAAGTCACACAAATCTATCCATCAGCATTCATTCTTTGAATAAACACTAATTATCAAAGCATCATTAGACATTGCTGCTATAAACATTGGACTGCATGTGCCCCTTTGAATCACTATGTTTGTATCCTTTGGATAAATATGTAGTAGTGCAATAGCACCAACGTCCACAATAGCTAAAATATGGAAAGAGCCCAGATGTTCATTGAAATATAAATCAATAAAGATGTGGTATATATATATACGTGTGTGTGTGTGTGTACACACACACACACACACACACACACAAAATGGAATATTACTCAGCCACCAAAAAGAATGATATCTTGCCATTTGCAATGGCATGGATGAAACTAGAGGGTATTATGCTAAGTGAAATAAGTCAGTCAGAGAAAGATAAATACCATATGATGTCACTAACCTGTGGAATCTAAGAAACATAACAGAGGAATATAGTGAAGGGAAGGAAAAATAAAATAAGATGAAAATTGAAAGGGCATGGACAATCAGAATTCAACACTATAGGTATACATGGATAAGAGATATATGTATATATATATATGGTATACATACATAAGAGACACTGAACTCCAGGAAACAAACTGAGGGTTGCTGGAGGAGAGGTGGGTGGGGGAATGGGATAATTGGGCAATGAGCATTAAGAAGGGCACTTGAAGTAATGAGCACTGGGTGTTGTATGCAACTGATGAATCACTGGATTGTACCTCTGAAACCAATAACACAGTATATGTTAATTAAATTGAACTGGGTGATGAGCATTAAAGAGGGAACATGATATGATGAGCACTGGGTGTTATACTAAACTAATGAATCATTGAACATTATATCAAAAACTAATTATGTACTATTCCTTGGCTAATTGAATTTTAATTTAAAAACAAATAAATGATGCAGGGCTTGATCCCTGGACCCAGGGATCATGACATGAGCCTAAGGTAGACGCTTAACTGACTGAGCCACCCAGGTGCCCCTTTACTAGACGGTTTTTTTAGGAACAGTTTGAGGTTCACAGCAAAACTGAGCAGAAAGTGAAGAGAGGTTCCACACATCTACTAAAATGACACACATGGACAGCCTTCCCCACTATCAACATCCCCCACCAGATGGTACATTACTTACACTGGATGAAACTCTATGGACACATCCATATTACTCAGAGTCCATAGCTTACCTCAAGGTTCATTCTTGGTGTTCTCCAGTCTATGCCTTTTGTGATATCTATGTAATGTTCACCCACACACACACACTTATAGTACAGGAGAGTTTCACTGCCCTTAAAATCATCTGAGCTCTGTCTATTGGTTCCTTCCTCTCCCCAACCCCTGACAAACATTGGTATTTTTAATGTCCCCATTATTTTTTTTTTTTACTTTTGCAGAATGGCTGCCATTGAATGCAGAGATCCAATAGAGCCCCAAGTCCCTTTGAGACTCCAGACTCAATGGGAGAAGCCTGGGTTCCTGAATGACTGGATGTGGTCAGGATGTGTCATGGACAGGCCACTGGGAGCACCCTGCTTAGGGTCAATGTAACAATTATTTTAAAAGTCCAACAAGGAGGGGCATGTTATCTGTAATACTGACTAGAAAAAGTAGCTCATGGTGATCATTCAAAGCAGTTGACTTTTTGGGGGATGGTATGTGCTATTATGAGCACTATGAATTGTGTAAGACTGATGAATCACAGACTTGTATGCTGAAACAAATAATACATCAGTGGAGAGCCTGCTTTTCCCTCTCCCTCTGCTATGCCCCCTGCAGTTCTCTTTCTCTCTGTCAAATAAATAAATATAAATAAAATCTTTTTTAAAAATCTCTAATAAAGACAAGAAAAGAAGGAAAACTTGTTATTAAGAGTAGTGAAAAGAAGGGCCATATGCACCCCAATGTTCATAGCAGCAATGTCCGCAATAGCCAAACTGTGGAAAGAGCCGAGATGCCCTTCAACAGATGAATGGATGAAGATGTGGTCCATATATACAATGGAATATTACTCAGCCATCAGAAAGGATGAATACCCAACTTTTACATCAACATGGATGGAACTGGAGGAGATTATGTTAAGTGAAATAAGTCAAGCAGAGAAAGCCAATTATCATGTGGTTTCATTTATTTGTGGAACATAAGGAATAGCATGGAGGACATTAGGAGAAGGAAGGGGGAAATGAAGGGGGGGAAATCGGAGGGAGAGAGGAACCATGTGAGACTATGGACTCTGAGAAACAAACTGAGGGTTTTAGAGGGGATGGGGGTAGGGGGATGGGTTGGCCCAGTGATGGGTATTAAGGGGGGCATGTACTGCATGGAGCACTGGGTGTTATACGAAAACAATGAACAGTGGATCACTACATCAAAAACGAATGATGTATTGTATGCCTACTAACATAACATAATAAAATAAAATACAAATAAATAAATTAAAATAAAATAAAAATGAATAAATGAGACTATGGATTCCGAGAAACAAACTGAAGGTTTTAGAGGGGCGGGGGGTGAGGGGATGGGTTAGCCCGGTGACAGGTATTAAGGAGGACACGTAATGCATGGAGCACTGGGTGTTATATGCAAACAATGACCCATGGAACACTACATCAAAAACTAATGATGTACTGTATGGTGACTAACATAACATAATAAAAAAATAAAATAAAATAAAATAAAATATAAATAAAGGACTTGGGAAAAGATGACAGAGGAGTAGGGGACCCTATTCCAACCAGTCCCCTGAATTGAGCTGGATATCCAACAGACCACTCTGAACAACAAGCCTGAGATGTAAGAAGACAGACCTGGATCTCTACAAACAGAATATCGCAGGCGGTTGGTTTTGAGGTATGAAGCGGAGAGCCGTGATTCTGCAAGCAGATAATGAAAGATAAACAGAAGGGGGAGGGAGCCTTTGGGACCCTGCACTGCTGGATCCCAATAGCCTCCCGCACTGGGGACGGGGCCCAGACTCACAGACTGGTAGTGGTGGGGCATCCCCCCAGACTGAAACCTGGAGCAGCAGGGCCACACGTGTGAACTGGGGGCAGCTGGCGGTTTTAGAGCACAAAGGGCAAGGACATGACCCGACCTGGAGGGGAGGACTGGAAGCCCAGCTGAGGGGCGCACAACCCAGGACACTGCAGTTTATAGCAGCACACACAGAAACAGAGATAGTGTGGCCTGAAGAACAGACTGTGATCTCTCTGCTCTGAGGCAAAGGTTTGGAAACGATCTCTTCTGCTCTGACTCTCGGAAGAGACAAGGAAAGCAGCCAGGGAAAGCCGCCAGAGAACAAAAGCCCCAAAAAGGCAGTTGTTACTGAGTCCATCCCCCCCAACAGGGGGCAGGGCAACTCTGACCAAACAGGGTTGCCTGAGTAACACTGTGGTAGGTCCCTCCCCCAGAAGACAGGCTGGGAGAACAGGAGGCCAACAACCCTAAGGTCCCTATAAAACAGGTGCATCTCCTGATCAAAATTCCAAGACATTTTTCAAAGTGCTGGAACAAACAATCCTAAAATTTGTATGGAATAAGAAAAGACCTCAAATCGCCAAGGAAGTGTTGAAAAAG